AACCGAGAACGGCGGAAACGTTCTAGGGCGGAGGACGTCATGTAATGTATCACAACAATGTAAAGTAGTAAACAAGCAACAACATCATCCATTGCATTAATAGTATAAGTTTCAAGTACATGTGTGTTCTTTCATAATATACAACAATAAAATGAATAATCAGAAAATAAGACGAGTCTGGACTGCTCCGTCTTCACAAAACCTGGTCGTCGTACTTGTCTATTTGTGACTTGAGAATACAAGTTATTTTGAAAGCGAGTATCAACCAAAAAGCTGGTGAATTCATAAGTAATAATGTGTTTTTAATTTGTAAAACTTGTAATGAAAGACTTGATATTGTTATGAAAGAAAGTTCGTAAAGTGTGGAAATGTTTGTAAGTAATCGAAATTGTTTGGTAAACCCTAGAAATCCCTATGATTCCTATTAGTATAGATGAAATATTCTATCAAGACCTAGCTGTTTTGAAAGTAGTCTTCTACCAAGACCCGACTGATTTGAAAGTAGCCTTCTACCAAGACCCGACTGTTCGACAATTATTATTAATATAAGAAATTGTATCCTTTGGTACTAGGATACTCAAATACAATTCACCTCATCGGTTATGTGAATGAGTCACAAGATAATGGTAATAATATAACTAACTTACGTATTATCCCTTTATACTAGGATAACTAACAGTGTTAACTTTAGACATCCGTAGATGTACATTTACCTCTGTTGCTAACAGCTAGGTGTAGGAATAGTTAGTCCCTTAAAGTATACCTGTATTGGTATCAACCGTAGACATCCGTAGATGTGCATTTACCTCTGTTGCTAACAGCTGGGTGTAGGAATAGTTAGTCCCTTAAAGTATACCTATAATGGTATCTAGACATATAATATATAATAGTAATTCTCCATATTATATCTATGTAAAAGTATTCATGTAAAAGTATTCATGTAAGAGTATTCATGTAAACGTACTCATGTAAACGTACTCATGTATCATGTAATGTACTGGTATAGACTCATGAATGAACTGATTCTTGTGTGATTCCCTGTACTTGGAATAGTAAGTGGTATCTCCTAACTATACCTATTATAGATACTAGTAATGTACGAGTATAACCGAAAGTATACCTTTGCTACTCAAAGGTACCGAACTGACTAATGGAACCTTGATACCTATATATGTATACATGATATATAAATAATATTTAGACGACCTTCGGACGGGTACCCGATATCCCACCAGACCACATCCAAATCTAGGAAAAGGAAACAGGGTGGATAGCCTTCCTAAGTCTTTTAAACATTTCTTATATAACTATACACATAAAGGCATGCAATTCATAATATAAAAGCGTAGCAGAAGTTTTCTAAAACCTTTGAAAAGTTTAATAATAAGAAACGATGACCTGATGTCAGTTTATAAAACGATTGAAAGTATTTTGTTTGATAATACAGTTTATGTACACGGAAAATCTGTTTGAAAACACCTTTGTAACAAAGTTTGAAAGGAAGCTTACAGTGTGTAAGACAGTTTGACAAAGAGCTTTAAACATGTAAAAACATTTAATAAAGTCATTTGAAGTAATATGTTTGGTAAAACTGCTAAACCTGTAGTAAATCCATTTGTATACTAGTTATAAATTTCATATGATTGATTTATTAACAGCAAGTATAGCAAAAAGATTGATGTTTTTCGTACGAGGTTAATCGTATGTTTGCAGTGCCAAAGATGGACACATATACATACCGTATAAATAAAGTGTTTGATATATATATATATATATATATATATATATATATATATATATATATATATATATATATATATAAACATTTTTCATTTCAAAAGTTATGATGTTATCGTGATATTTTTTCATACGAAAGTTTACCTATAATAGTTATAAATCATATATGATTCCGTTGATAAAAAGCGTATAATGAAACTTTATTATATAACATACGATAATAATCGAGTATTTTACTTGTATTCCCCACCTTAAAAGCATATAAAGTATTTATAAAACATTTAAAAGTGTAGTTTATAGGGGTATAAACTCACTTGATTGATTGAAGAAAGCGTGACGAAAACCGATGAGAACTTCTACTCGAGAGAGCAGATCTCTCAAGATTCTCGGGAATCTCGGGAGCGTAAACTTCCTTCCGAGCTTGGATATGAAAATCGGGAGTTTGGGATGGCTCCGAGGGTTGAAACGCAGAGCTTCGGCGCGAGAAGGGAAGGAAATTAGCAAATATGGCCGGCACCCTCGCACCCTTTATATAGGGTCTGATTCCTCGGATTACGCTGTGCGTACCAAGGAATTACGCTGGGCGTAATCCGGATCAGACCGGTGACTCCCCCTCCAACGGATAATATTGGGAATATTTAATTAAATTAAATATTTTAATTATTAATAAACTTCAAAAATTCATATCTTCCTCATACGAACTCCGTTTTCAACGTTCTTTATATCCACACGTAGGTGAGACTACGATCTACAACTTTCGTTTAGACTTCGTCGGCTAATTTTGACTTTATTTTTAATATTATATTTTTAATAGGCCGGGACAGAAAAAGTCCGTTAAAATTTCATTATTCCTTCATCCGCTGTCTGTTTTCGCCAGACTTTTTACCGTTGTAATACCATTGATGAGATCTTCGATTCTCATTTAGGTCATGTTGGCAAAAATCCGCTCGATCTTGATTTCGAGTTTTTAGCTGTCTACTGTTATGTCTGAAACTTCGAAAAATCACAACTTCCTCATATGAAGTCAGATTTGGGCATTATTTTTAGGTATGCTTATGGTTTTGGGATATCTAAAACTTTCCTTTAGATACCTAAGGCTAAAATTATTGTATTGAAACTTTGCGTTTTACGTCTATCAGTGTTGCCGATTTTCGCTGCAAATCTTAGATTGGTCATAACTTCTTTGTTATAACTCGGATTTTAGTGTTCTTTATATGCACGAAAACCTTGATACGATTCCTACCACTTTATCTAACCTAAATAAGATTTTAGGAAAGTTAAATTTTTACCTATATTTGACTGGTGTTACATTTCATTGTCTCGAAATATCGGGTTATCTCAGTTTGTTTGAGGGGTAAGGATCGATATTGACCTATTCATGGGCTGAAAAACAAGTAGCAAGGATTCCTGTTGCTAAAAGCCCCATGCTTACATGTTTCCATAAATTTTATGATAAATAATTATTTTCCATTATGTCCACAATCTTAAGATACGAAGTTTATAAAACACCCCTAAATAGTCCTTCATAAATGTTTTGTTATCTTTTAAGGTTATTTTCATACTTTTAATTATATGTTACGCGTTAAAAGTTCTATTTTAATTATATAATTATTCTTATATTTATGTTCATTTTTTTAAATAATTAAACGGAAAACGAATCATTACAAATTAATCAACACCTATGAAAAAACTATATTGTTCACTTATATACTTGTAGAAATAAGATTTCCGTAGGTAAATACGAGATTTTCGCAGATATGATCTGCAAAGATATCTTTTTTTGTTGGAATAAATCGTACATAACATAAAAATTTGAAAAAAAATTTACATAAAATGTATAAAATACTTACAGTATAATTATATTATAGATTGTTGTCGTATTGTTTTATTTTTTTCATAATTTTTTTTTTGATTAAAACAAAAAGAGTAAAGCATGAGATAATTTTAATCTATTTTATGATTTTGCATTGCAAATTTCATGACAACTTTTGAAAGCCTTTTAATTTTTACTTAAATCTTAAAAAAGTAATAATAATAATTAGCAATGTTTTTCTAAATTAAAAGATTTAAAAATAAAACATTAAGAATATGGCGTGAAATGCAAATAAGCTTAAATGAGGGGAAGTAAATGCTAATATCTCTAAAATAGATTATCCTTTTTAATACTTTAAAAGTTCCCAGTCATCAACAAAACGTAATTGCCTTGTCATGCCTCTCTATCCACTCCCCTTTTAACAGCTGGATCCCTCCTCACCCTCACATGTCATCCCTCTAACCCTACCCTCAACCACCGCACTGCCATTCTCTCACGGTGGTCTCTCCCTCCTCCCCGGCCTCCGCCTCCGCCTCCGCTTCTCCCCTACGCATCAAGCAGTCTGTAAGCAAGTAAACGACCTGTCTCCTTTTGGCTACTTTCGAATTTCAGAGTTGTTTTTTTCGATATACCAAATAGAAGAGGGAATCCTTCTTTCTCAAATCTCAGCTGTTGAATTTCTTCCAAAGCTCCGGAATTTTGTATTAAAAGCTGCCATGTTTACTGGATTTGCTGGATCCTAGTCGGATTAGCATCTCTTCCGAAGCCGGCGGCTGAAACAAGTCAGTCTCTCTCCTCTCTCTAAATTTAAGCTTCCTCTATATTCGCATGTCGACACGCATAAAAACACAAACATCCCGATTAGTTTTCGGGTAATTATGTATCTTATCAAGAATAAACAAATACTCGCGATTGTTTTACACTTTTTGTCAACAATTGTTTAAATTAAGAAGCCAGATCTGATAATAATTTGGGGCTTTTCCTTGAAATCGCCCAGACTATTTGTTCTTCAGTTTTTTTTGTATTTTTTTTTTGGTTGAGGCTGCAACCTGCAAGTGTAAGTAGGGTTTTGGGCTCTTACATGACATGTGTAGACTTTAAGACAAAGAGAATGAAATCATTTTATGTGAATATTCTGTTTCCCCTATTTTTGGTAAAAAATAACAGGAATTATGCAGTCTGAAAGGGAACGATTTTGTAGTTGATGGAAGGAAATTGCAGTATAGAAAGCTTAATTCCATATTTGTTAAGATAAATCACAGTTATGAACTTATGATTGCTGCATAGGAATTGCTGTATGGATTACAAATCATTAAACACCTTTCATTAATACCTAACCTCAACAAATCTTTAATCTCTCAATGTTCTTGTAGATAATATTTCAAGGAAACACAGTTACACACAAATCTAACTTTCAGACTCTGCGTATTGAGTTTTTCCCTGTAAATTCATGGGGGCTGGAGAAGATAACTCACCTGCTAAGCATTCCAAACCTGCTCCAACTCAGGAAACACCTCCACCTTCATATGCTGACTGGTCAAACTCAATGCAGGCATGATTTATATATTTGGTTTGAATTTTTTAAACTTTTTGTTACAAGATTCTTATTGTGGCTTTGCAATTTGTAATTTTCATGTTTAGGCTTATTATGGTGCTGGGGGAACTCCACCTTTTTTTGCTTCAACTGTTGCTTCTCCAACTCCTCATCCCTACATGTGGGGAGGCCAGGTGATGATGATGATGTGGCAAAATTCAAAGATCTTATTGGATTCTTCTAGATATTAATATTTGGAAAATGTTTTGATTTATTTCAGCATCCTATGATGTCACCATATGGAACTCCAGTTCCATATCCAGCTTTATATCCACCAGCTGGAGTTTATGCTCATCCTAATATGCCTATGGTATTCATAATTTCTTTTTTCTTTTTATTTTTTATTTTTTTGCCTTTTAATCTTTTATGTGTTATTTATGATTATTGATTTTTGTTCTTACAGACTCCAACTACTGCTCCACCAAACACAGAAATGGAAGCAAAGGCGTATGAAGGCAAAGAAAGGTCAACTACTACTAATAAAAAGTCAAAGGGTATTTCTGGAAATGGAAATGTTGGTGTTAGAACTGGAGAGAGTGGAAAAGCAGCATCAAGTTCAGGGAATGATGGAGGTGCCACCCAAAGGTTTTTTAATTTTCTATTTTTTTTTTATTCGAAGTTTTCATTTGTTATGCCAAAAATACCCTTGGTTTTTAAATTATTGTAATTTTTGAAATTTGAACTAAACAGTGCTGATAGTGGAAGCGATGGTTCTTCAGATGGAAGTGATGAAAATGACCAAAATGTACATATCTCAGAAACTCTTAATAATTTTTTTTTTTGTTTTAAATAAGAATTTATTTTTTATGAAGGTATGATAATTATAATTATTAATTAATACACAAATATATACAGGAATTTTCTGGAGGCAAGAAAGGAAGCTTCAATCAGATGCTTGCAGATGGTAATTCCGTAATTCTACACATTTTCACTTCCATTTATATAAATAATTAAATTCAAAACAAAATTACTTTTTTTTTTTTAATAATAAGTTAATACGAAAGTATGTTGCTATTTTCAGCAAATGCACAGAATAACAATATACAGACACCGGTTCCCGGGAATCCTGTAGCTTCAATTCCAGGCACCAATCTAAACATGGGAATGGATTTGTGGAATCCGGCCGCCGGAAACACCGCCATCAAAATGCGACCCGGTGTGTCTCGTGGGGTGGTGCCGCCTCCCATGATGCCTGATCAGTGGGTTCAGGTGTGAATAAATGAATTTCCTTTTCTTGTTATAAGATAGCCTAAATTACACAAATGGTCCCTATGGTTTTGGATAATTTGCACGTTTGGTCCCTAACTTAAAGGTCCCTACTGTTTAAAAAATAAATTAAAAAATCAAGGGTAAAATAGTCATTTTAGGTAAGACAGGGACAAGCATGCAACAAAAACAAAAACAAAGAGTAGGGACGTTCCGAGTTAAAAAAAAAAAAAAGTTAGGAACCAAACATGCAAATTACCCACAACCATAGGGAGCTTTTGGGTTAAAAAAATATAAGTTGGGGACCAAACGTAAAAATTATGCAAAACCATTATAAAAATATTAATTAATGAATTTATGATTTTATGACTTATGACATCAGCAGGACGAGCGTGAACTGAAGAGACAAAAGAGGAAGCAGTCTAACCGTGAGTCAGCCAGGAGATCAAGATTGCGTAAACAGGTATCAAAATGACAAAATCTAATTCCAACGCCGGAATCAGCGATTCCATTCCGTTTTTCTTTTCTGATTCCGTTGTTTGGACAGGCGGAATGCGAAGAGTTACAGACGAGAGTTGAGGCGCTGACCAGTGAAAATCATACGCTTAGAGATGAGCTTCAGAGGCTCTCTGAAGAATGTCAGAAGCTTACTTCTGAAAATAATTCCATAAAGGTTTTTTTTTTTTTTTTTTTCATTATTAGTTTAACAAATAAAAAATAAATAAATAAGATGATTTACTGTTTGACTTTGACCAGGATGAGTTGACCAGGTTTTGTGGACCAGAGGCAGTGTCGAAGCTTGATGAAGGAAACAGTTGAGAAAGAGAGAGATATAGCGGAAAAAAGTTAGTGATAAAAGTTATAAAATTAGGACTAAATCTTTTCAACTGACGTGAGAGACTAATATGTTGTGTTTTTTCTACTTTTCTTCATATACATGTAACTGTAAGTTGTAATTTTTTTAAAAAAATTTATAAGTTACTGTTTTATATCTCGTTCATTCATACTTCAAACAGACGTAGAAAGCTTGATGTACAAGTATTATGTGGTTGAATGTTGTAATGGAACAGATGGGGTTTAATTTCAGTTCTTTTGATATGATTTTTTGCATAAAAAAAGTGTACAAAAATTATGCAAACAACTAGAGGTGTACATATGCATTATATTAGACTAAAATGAAAAATGTTTTTCAAAAGACTAGTTATATAAATTGGTCATGATGTAGGTCAATGTTTCTTGTGTGGAAGTTGATGTTAAATTAATATGGAAAAACGAGGTATTGAAGTTGATTTTTTGTTGTGTTAGCTTCAAAACATGAAATATATATCACCTCGCTCTATTGGAAATTTGGAAGTTTAGACTTCGGAGACGATATGACGTTTTTAATTGTATTGTTTTAAACTGTTTGTACATCTTTTTTTGTTCACCAAACTTATTTTTAGTACATCAAACTTATAACATAGGCGGATTTGATATAGAACCCTCATGCTCATCAAAAAAATTCAGGAGTCGGAAAAATTTTGTTTATGTTGCGGTGATATCCCGGAAAATAATTTGGGCTACCATAAAATATTTTTTAAGTTATTTCTAAATTGTAAATGCAAAGACAAACTAATCCAAACTTGTTAAGCTCAATTGACCAATCGCCGAAAACAAAATTAATTTAATGATATACAAAATTTAGCCCAATATTTATGAAAAATCAGACATTTGCAACTCGGCAAACTAATCGACGATCTCCCAACTCCACTGCAACTCACGTCTCACACATGCTGTTGCCATCGGCCTCCCTTCTTTCTTTCTGTTGGCGATTTGCATGCTGCCGTGGATTTTTTCGGCGAAATCCTCCGGTGGGGAGTGATTAGTGATCAGTGCAAAATGAAACATGTAAGTACAAAAAAAAAAAAAACTCGATCCTATTATATATTTTTAGGTTAATTGAAATTTATTTTTTATGCATTGTGTTGAAAATTTTCAACATGAAGGGAATTGCGAACTTCTCTCGTTTGTTTGTGGAAACTAGAAAGCATCTCTCTTTCCCTTTGGTTTATAGATTATTAAAACTAACTTTGGTTTTGTCCGTCGCAACCACAACCGTTGAATAGTGTTTTTCTACAATGAAGTTATTGAAGACCGATTTGCATAATAGAATAGGTGACAATTTTATGAATGATTACTTGTGAATGATAAGACTGCTTACTTGCTTTCGTAAAATGAAAGAGCGAAAATGTGAACTTTAAAACGTAACTTTGTCATGAAAGTTGAACTTTATGCCTAATGAAATACCTGTTTTTTTTATTATTTTTATTATTTTATAAATTGTATATTACATGATTTTTTTTGAGATACCCCTTTACTTTGAGTCTGCCTCCTTCACTGACTTAAAACCAATTTTTGTTCATTAAGTCGACACCATAGAATGCAACGAACAAATCTACCATAACCATATCTCTTTCATCACAAACAAACACCAAACGCACAAACGACTCCCCTTTAGGCACCACCACCAGCCATATATGGGGTGATAATTCTCGACATGATTCAAAATAGACACGAACCTCATACGCAAATAAAAGGGTTTAAGTAAGAGCTTTCAACTGATTCTACTAAACAGGTTGACAAGACACGACACACAAATTAAAAGAGTAATGTTAGGGTCCAAACTTTCAACACGAAAATGTTGTGTTTATTTATATGCAACTTCTTTTAATCTTTTAGGTGAATTTGACATGCCCAAAACCAATTGAAAAAGAAAATTTTTGTTTGAGTCGTTTTATCATTTGAAAACCACTAAATTAGCAGTCTCAATCAATACTTATTTTTTAATTTTTCAATTTTTAATTAGTATCTCATACTCCATAATTTCACTGGCCAACTTTCCCTTATTGTATTTTGTCTATCCGTCTCCCATACTACTACTCCTTTATTTTTTCATTTTTTCTCTACTTCTCAAACTCCTACTCTTTCTAATTATTTAGTGTTGCAATCTAGTACAACAAGACATATTTACAAGGTATAAACCTTAAACATGCCAACATGATACGACAATAAACGAGTTGACACGACATAGTAATTGAATCGGTCGGGTTAGGGTCAAGCTACCTCTACCCATTTAAGTTTTAACTTGATACGGACATGACACACCATGTTAGTGTGTGTGTGAGTGTCTAAATGTTTTGTTTATACAAACAACATCATTATTTTTATGTGATATAAATCACACAAAAATATTATTACAACTCTACTACTTACAGTATGGAGAATCTGCTTTGAAGGGTTGCATAGCGCATAGGGTTGTTGGATTTCAGAACGGCTTAATTACTATAATATTATTTTCCGGGTGCGACCTAATGAACATTCTGTATGCTATTTATCTTTGTGATTATTGCATGTGTTATGTGTTTACGTGTTTATTTGTTATATGTATACAAGCGGGGCCCGATGACTGACAGATCTGTATACCAAGCGGGGCTAGATGCCGGATGGGGCCCATTATGTGTTTATTATGTATGGTACGTGGAATTTTTGGGAACTCACTAAGTTTTGTGCTTACAGTTTTTAATTATATTTTAGGTACTTCTGGTTCGAATGGGAAGAGCCCAGAATGATTACAGTGCACACCACCTCATTTGGCATTTTATGATTACTCTAATACACTTTATTCCACCATGGTTTTATGATGATGTTTTGGATAATAGTTTTATTAATTTAAAATAAAAAAATTTTGGTCTTAATTTTAGGACGTTACGTATATTTCTATTAAATTTTGAAATATAAAAATACATTGTGTATTTTCTCTATTCTCTTATTCTCTTTTTTTTTTCCTATGTTAAACTCTGGATCACAACATAAACTTGGGTATGGTTTATTAGGTTTAATAATAATAATAATAATAATAATAATAATAATAATAATAATAATAATAATAGTTTCATTTAAATACATATGGATGCCATATCAGCATCATGTTTGTAAGTCAAAGTGTAACATCCCGGAATCGCAAGAGTAGAGTTGAAGGGCTAAAAGTGTAAGTTTTAGAGGATGACTCGGCGAGTCCATGGATGGACTCGACGAGTCAGGTCGCGGTCATGGTCGCGTGTCAAGTGGCCTACTTGGCGAGTCCCAAGGATGGACTCGGCGAGTAGGTACTGTATGGAGAAAACCCTAATTTTCGGGGTTGAGCCCTATATAAAGAGCATTATACCCCTCCACAGCCTCCCTTATCCCCCCTTGAGTTCCAGAAACCCTAAATTCGTGGAGAGATCATTTGTGGAGCAAATTAGAGCTTGGAGAGGTGTTGTTTGAAGAGATCTTGAAGGAGAAGTGGCTTGGATCAAAGGGCTTTGCTTGGATTCGAGTTGGCTGCTATTGAGGCATCTTTTGGAGGTAATATCTTCGTCCTTAGGCTGTGCATTCCTAGTTTCATCATTTTGGGGTTTGTGGGGAGTATGTCTTGGAATGTTTTGGAGTTTGGAGGATAGATCTGAGGTTGCTACCTCAGATCTGGAATATTGAAGGCCTAGAGTGCATTAAAGTTCCTGTGTTTGAGTGCTTAGTGAAGCCACCATGTCCCAAACCTTGGTTTTAAGGTGAATATGGCTTAGATCTCGTTAGATTCACGTAAAGTTTGCCACTTTACGTGATGGATGGATTGTAGGAGGTTGGATCTATGTTTTGGATCAATTGCATGGCCTGAGATGCTTCTGTATGGATTCAGATAGGTGGTACTCGACGAGTCACATGGGTGGACTCGACGAGTTGCTTGAAGATGGCCTGGGACTCGACGAGTTGGAAGAACAACTCGGCGAGTAGGTTGAAGATGGCCTTGGACTCGACGAGTCCATTTGGACTCGGCGAGTCTTGTCGAGGAAGTCCCAATATTTCTGGTTGAGTCGATGAATCGGTGAGTCAAGGGATGACTCGGTGAGTTGGGTGCGAGTGGACTCAGAGTTGTTGGACTCGACGAGTCTTGGGGTGACTCGGCGAGTTGGGTCGCTAATTGAGGGAAGTTCTGAGCATAAGGACTCGGCGAGTCATCGGGATGACTCGGCGAGTAGGGTCAGTCAGGGGTTGACTTTGACTCGTCCAAGGTTGACCAGTTGTCTTCCAGGGGTATTTTGGTAATTAAGGGTATTTATTGAGTTGTATGTTTTGATGTTTAGTGGAGGAGTTCGTGCCAGAGTTCGGAGCAGCGGGATCTTATCTTTTCAGCCGGCAGTTTCGAGGTGAGTTATCCTCACTATATCAACAGGGTCTAAGGCACCAAGGCCGGCCCTTTATTGTATTGAGATTCGGTTATGGTTATTATGTTATTGTTTGATGTGTCTGCATCCTGGTAGCTAGGATGGTACATGCTAGGAGGCCTTGCTAAGGTCAGTTTTCCCGATATACAGAGTGATGCTATGCTAGTGACCGGTTAGGTCGGTAACCCGGTTAGGGTAATGATATGCTATGTGATCTGCTTGCTCGGTTTGTTGACTATGACTGTTATATGAATGTATGTTTTGTGCACATGGTTGTTTGGACTGGAGATGGGTTGAGGCGGGTCCTGCTTTGTGCTGTAGGCCAAGATACCCAGGGCGGACCGGTTGTTCCGAAGGCCCAGCGAGCGGTCCGGATAGGCTGTAGGCCCCACGAGGGCGGACCAGACGTGCCGAGGCTCGGAGAGTGGACCAGGCCGACTGAAGGCCCGATGCGGGCGGACCAGTCACACTGTAGACTCAGAGAGTGGACCAGGTGGGTTGAAGGCCCGATGCGGGCGGACCAACCCCACTGTAGACTCGAAGGACATGACTAGACCGGAGGATGGATCCGTTGGACTGAAGGCCCGATACGGCGGACCAGTCACACGGTAGACCCGATATGCATGGCTGTTCTATGTTCTGTTATGTTATGTATGTTTTATATGTTTTGGACCGGAAGGTCGTAGCCTGGAAGGGCGTATACGTGGTTGGTATTTTGGGGGTATCTCACTAAGCTTTCGGGCTTACAGTTGTGGTTTAATGTTTTTCAGGTTCTTCAGGAGACTGTGGCAAGGCGAAGGCGCGATCGTACCGCTCCTCATGATTTTGTAGCAATGTGATTCT